TGGCTGGCTTTGTTGGTTAGCGGTGTTGGCTGGTTTGGTTGGTTAGCGGTGTTGGCTGGTTTGGTTGGTCAGCGGTGTTGGCTGGCTTTGTTGGTTAGCGGTGTTGGCTGGCTTTGTTGGTTAGCGGTGTTGGCTGGTTTGGTTGGTTAGCGGTGTTGGCTGGTTTGGTTGGTTAGCGGTGTTGGCTGGTTTCGTTGGTCAGCGGTGTTGGCTGGTTTGGTTGGTTAGCGGTGTTGGCTGGTTTGGTTGGTTAGCGGTGTTGGCTGGTTTGGTTTGTCAGCGGTGTTGGCTGGTTTGGTTGGTTAGCGGTGTTGGCTGGTTTGGTTGGTTAGCGGTGTTGGCTGGTTTGGTTGGTCAGCGGTGTTGGCTGGCTTTGTTGGTTAGCGGTGTTGGCTGGCTTTGTTGGTTAGCGGTGTTGGCCGGTTTGGTTGGTTAGCGGTGTTGGCTGGTTTGGTTGGTCAGCGGTGTTGGCTGGTTTGGTTGGTTAGCGGTGTTGGCTGGTTTGGTTGGTTAGCCGTGTTGGCTGGTTTGGTTGGTCAGCGGTGTTGGCTGGTTTGGTTGGTTAGCGGTGTTGGCTGGTTTGGTTGGTCAGCGGTGTTGGCCGGTTTGGTTGGTTAGCGGTGTTGGCTGGTTTGGTTGGTCAGCGGTGTTGGCTGGTTTGGTTGGTTAGCGGTGTTGGCTGGTTTGGTTGGTTAGCCGTGTTGGCTGGTTTGGTTGGTCAGCGGTGTTGGCTGGTTTGGTTGGTGAGCGGTGTTGGCTGGATTGGTTGGTCAGCGGTGTTGGCTGGTTTGGTTGGTGAGCGGTGTTGGCTGGCTTTGTTGGTTAGCGGTGTTGGCTGGTTTGGTTGGTCAGCGGTGTTGGCTGGTTTGGTTGGTTAGCGGTGTTGGCTGGTTTGGTTGGTCAGCGGTGTTGGCTGGCTTTGTTGGTTAGCGGTGTTGGCTGGCTTTGTTGGTTAGCGGTGTTGGCTGGTTTGGTTGGTTAGCGGTGTTGGCTGGTTTGGTTGGTTAGCGGTGTTGGCTGGTTTGGTTGGTCAGCGGTGTTGGCTGGTTTGGTTGGTTAGCGGTGTTGGCTGGTTTGGTTGGTTAGCGGTGTTGGCTGGTTTGGTTGGTCAGCGGTGTTGGCTGGTTTGGTTGGTCAGCGGTGTTGGCTGGCTTTGTTGGTTAGCGGTATTGGTTGGTTTGGTTGGTTAGCGGTGTTGGCTGGTTTGGTTGGTTAGCGGTGTTGGCTGGTTTGGTTGGTTAGCGGTGTTGGCTGGTTTGGTTGGTCAGCGGTGTTGGCTGGCTTTGTTGGTTAGCGGTGTTGGCTGGCTTTGTTGGTTAGCGGTGTTGGCTGGTTTGGTTGGTTAGCGGTGTTGGCTGGTTTGGTTGGTTAGCGGTGTTGGCTGGTTTGGTTGGTCAGCGGTGTTGGCTGGTTTGGTTGGTTAGCGGTGTTGGCTGGTTTGGTTGGTTAGCGGTGTTGGCTGGTTTGGTTGGTCAGCGGTGTTGGCTGGTTTGGTTGGTCAGCGGTGTTGGCTGGCTTTGTTGGTTAGCGGTATTGGTTGGTTTGGTTGGTTAGCGGTGTTGGCTGGTTTGGTTGGTTAGCGGTGTTGGCTGGTTTGGTTGGTTAGCGGTGTTGGCTGGTTTGGTTGGTCAGCGGTGTTGGCTGGCTTTGTTGGTTGGCGGTGTTGGCTGGTTTGGTTGGTCAGCGGTGTTGGCTGGTTTGGTTGGTTAGCGGTGTTGGCTGGTTTGGTTGGTCAGCGGTGTTGGCTGGCTTTGTTGGTTAGCGGTGTTGGCTGGCTTTGTTGGTTAGCGGTGTTGGCTGGTTTGGTTGGTTAGCGGTGTTTGCTGGTTTCGTTGGTTAGCGGTGTTGGCTGGTTTCGTTGGTCAGCGGTGTTGGCTGGTTTGGTTGGTTAGCGGTGTTGGCTGGTTTGGTTGGTTAGCCGTGTTGGCTGGCTTGGTTGTTCAGCGATGTTGGCTGGTTTGGTTGGTTAGCGGTGTTGGCTGGTTTGGTTGGTCAGCGGTGTTGGCTGGTTTGGTTGGTTAGCGGTGTTGGCTGGTTTGGTTGGTTAGCCGTGTTGGCTGGCTTGGTTGTTCAGCGATGCTGGCTGGTTTGGTTGGTTAGCGGTGTTGGCTGGTTTGGTTGGTCAGCGGTGTTGGCTGGCTTTGTTGGTTAGCGGTGTTGGCTGGCTTGGTTGTTCAGCGATGCTGGCTGGTTTGGTTGGTTAGCGGTGTTGGCTGGTTTGGTTGGTTAGCGGTGTTGGCTGGCTTTGTTGGTTAGCGGTGTTGGCTGGTTTGGTTGGTTAGCGGTGTTGGCTGGTTTGGTTGGTCAGCGGTGTTGGCTGGCTTTGTTGGTTAGCGGTGTTGGCTGGTTTTGTTGGTTAGCGGTGTTGGCTGGTTTGGTTGGTTAGCGGTGTTGGCTGGTTTGGTTGGTTAGCGGTGTTGGCTGGTTTCGTTGGTCAGCGGTGTTGGCTGGTTTGGTTGGTTAGCGGTGTTGGCTGGTTTGGTTGGTTAGCGGTGTTGGCTGGTTTGGTTTGTCAGCGGTGTTGGCTGGTTTGGTTGGTTAGCGGTGTTGGCTGGTTTGGTTGGTTAGCGGTGTTGGCTGGTTTGGTTGGTCAGCGGTGTTGGCTGGCTTTGTTGGTTAGCGGTGTTGGCTGGCTTTGTTGGTTAGCGGTGTTGGCCGGTTTGGTTGGTTAGCGGTGTTGGCTGGTTTGGTTGGTCAGCGGTGTTGGCTGGTTTGGTTGGTTAGCGGTGTTGGCTGGTTTGGTTGGTTAGCCGTGTTGGCTGGTTTGGTTGGTCAGCGGTGTTGGCTGGTTTGGTTGGTTAGCGGTCTTGGCTGGCTTTGTTGGTTAGCGGTGTTGGCTGGTTTGGTTGGTCAGCGGTGTTGGCTGGTTTGGTTGGTTAGCGGTGTTGGCTGGTTTGGTTGGTCAGCGGTGTTGGCTGGCTTTGTTGGTTAGCGGTGTTGGCTGGCTTTGTTGGTTAGCGGTGTTGGCTGGTTTGGTTGGTTAGCGGTGTTGGCTGGTTTGGTTGGTTAGCGGTGTTGGCTGGTTTGGTTGGTCAGCGGTGTTGGCTGGTTTGGTTGGTCAGCGGTGTTGGCTGGTTTGGTTGGTTAGCGGTGTTGGCTGGTTTGGTTGGTCAGCGGTGTTGGCTGGTTTGGTTGGTCAGCGGTGTTGGCTGGCTTTGTTGGTTAGCGGTGTTGGCTGGTTTGGTTGGTTAGCGGTGTTGGCTGGTTTGGTTGGTTAGCGGTGTAGGCTGGTTTGGTTGGTTAGCGGTGTTGGCTGGTTTGGTTGGTCAGCGGTGTTGGCTGGCTTTGTTGGTTAGCGGTGTTGGCTGGCTTTGTTGGTTAGCGGTGTTGGCTGGCTTTGTTGGTTAGCGGTGTTGGCTGGTTTGGTTGGTTAGCGGTGTTGGCTGGTTTGGTTGGTCAGCGGTGTTGGCTGGCTTTGTTGGTTATCGGTGTTGGCTGGCTTGGTTGGTTAGCGGTGTTGGCTGGTTTGGTTGGTTAGCAGTGTTGGCTGGCTTGGTTGGTCAGCGGTGTTGGCTGGTTTGGTTGGTCAGCGGTGTTGGCTGGTTTGGTTGGTTAGCGGTGTTGGCTGGTTTGGTTGGTCAGCGGTGTTGGCTGGCTTTGTTGGTTAGCGGTGTTGGCTGGCTTGGTTGGTTAGCGGTGTTGGCTGGCTTTGTTGGTTAGCGGTGTTGGCTGGCTTGGTTGTTCAGCGGTGTTGGCTGGTTTGGTTGGTTAGCGGTGTTGGCTGGTTTGGTTGGTCAGCGGTGTTGGCTGGTTTGGTTGGTTAGCGGTGTTGGCTGGTTTGGTTGGTTAGCCGTGTTGGCTGGCTTGGTTGGTTAGCGGTGTTGGCTGTTTTGGTTGGTTAGCGGTGTTGGCTGGTTTGGTTGGTCAGCGGTGTTGGCTGGCTTTGTTGGTTAGCGGTGTTGGCTGGCTTTGTTGGTTAGCGGTGTTGGCTGGTTTGGTTGGTTAGCGGTGTTGGCTGGTTTGGTTGGTTAGCGGTGTTGGCTGGCTTTGTTGGTTAGCGGTGTTGGCTGGCTTTGTTGGTTAGCGGTGTTGGCTGGTTTGGTTGGTTAGCGGTGTTGGCTGGTTTGGTTGGTTAGCGGTGTTGGCTGGTTTGGTTGGTCAGCGGTGTTGGCTGGTTTGGTTGGTTAGCGGTGTTGGCTGGTTTGGTTGGTCAGCGGTGTTGGCTGGCTTTGTTGGTTAGCGGTGTTGGCTGGCTTGGTTGGTTAGCGGTGTTGGCTGGCTTGGTTGGTTAGCGGTGTTGGCTGGCTTTGTTGGTTAGCGGTGTTGGCTGGCTTGGTTGGTTAGCGGTGTTGGCTGGTTTGGTTGGTGAGCGGTGTTGGCTGGTTTGGTTGGTCAGCGGTGTTGGCTGGTTTGGTTGGTTAGCGGTGTTGGCTGGTTTGGTTGGTTAGCGGTGTTGGCTGGTTTGGTTGGTTAGCCGTGTTGGCTGGCTTGGTTGGTTAGCGGTGTTGGCTGGTTTGGTTGTTAGCGGTGTTGGCTGGTTTGGTTGGATGCTGCACTTGCTCACCCCTCTTGCTCACCCCCACGCTCACCCCACTTGCGCACCGCACTTGCTCACCTCATTCAGGGTTGAGGGTTTAGGGTTTAGGTGACAACCCGAGATGGTTGAACTTGCCAAGTGGGCTTGTAGCTTTTGTGGAAAAATCAAACAGAATTATCTAAATAAAAAAACTTGACTCATTTTGTTGAGTTTGTGTAAATTATCATAATTTTCACTGTAGACTTTTTTTATCTTGTATGTTCCGATAATTTCGCGTCAGCTGGCTCGGCTTACACCCGCGTCGCGAACCAGATCCGAGCCTCCACCGCACCTTTCGGCAACTTCCGAGCCTCATTTAGCCCGCGTTTCCCGCCTAGCTCGGCTCCCCCTATTAACCCTCGTTTTAGACATTCGTAAAGCATTCGGTGCTGTAATTTTCTGGTTCATATTTCGAATTCGCGTCATGCCACCACTCATTGGCTGCTGGCTAGATTCTGGAGAACACAAAGAACCGCGTTCAGGATTAGGAAGCGAGAACTGGGAGGGCAACAGTGGGGCGTCGCATAGTGGCTTGATAGCCGTCGAGTCGAAGCAACAGACAGGGCGACGAGAGCGAGAAGAGCCGATTCGGGATGGCGGAGAGCCGCGACAGCTGGCACGAGGAGCACCAGCAATGGCGGGTGGGCAAACAGGAAGCGGAAGCCTGACATCCGTTGGGCGACGTCATAATATAGTGGCGATGCTACATTGTCAGTCGAAGGACATTTTGCGCAAACGCTACTGCGTCAGAGCGACAGAGAGGAAACGGCACAGCTCGACGTACGACGACGAGAGAGCGACAAATTGCAAGAGTGAACGACGGACTGAGACGATTGAGCGACTGCCAACGGCGATAAAGCGACAAAAACCTTTTGACGATGGCGGAGAGTCGCGGCAGCTGATGCGCGAGGAGAAGCAGCAATGGCATCGGATGGGGCCAGCACGCGCGCAAGGGGAGCTCTCAGCTGCGAAAGCGGCCGAATAAGCGGCGGCGACAGCGGCGGCAGCGGCGGAGGTAGCATGTGTTGCTGCGAGCAGCACAGGCCAGAGTGGCGGCGGTGGCAGCGGCGCGAAGAGGGAACGCCGGTGGGAGTGGGGGCATAGGTGGGCGTAGCAGTAAAGAGCGACCACACGGGGATTAGGGAAGCGGAGCGGGGAGGGGAGGCACAGGGAGGGGAGGGGAAAGGGGGATGCGGGCGCGTGTGATTTGAGTTTGGCAGACGCGAGGCGAGGGGCAGGAGCAGGCGGAACAGGGGGTAGAGCAGGAGAGCAGAGGAGGGGAGAAGAGGCAGGCGGAGAGGTGGGAAGGGCGGGAGAGAGACTACGGGGGAGATCATGCGCCAGAGGCAAGAGGAGAGGCGCGAGGGGGGGGTGCGTTGGGGCTCGCGGGGGAGCCAGCGGGGAAGGGCGCGTGTGGGTGAATCTAGCGACGTGGGAGAGCATTGGTGTGAGGCGGGGGAAGGAGAGGCAGACCGAAGCAGAATCGAGTGAGCCGGTGTGGGGATAGAGCGAGCGGTGGCTATGGTGGGAGGAACAGGGGAGATGGGAGGTATGGCTATGGTGGGAGGAATGGGGGAGACGGGAGGTATGGCTATGGTGGGAGGAATGGGGGAGATGGGAGGTATGGCTATGGTGGGAGGAATGGGGGAGATGGGAGGTATGGCTGTGGTGGGAGGAATGGGGGAGATGGGAGGTATGGCTATGGTGGGAGGAATAGGGGAGATGGGAGGTATGGCTATGGTGGGAGGAATGGGGGAGACGGGAGGTATGGCTATGGTGGGAGGAATGGGGGAGATGGGAGGTATGGCTATGGTGGGAGGAATGGGGGAGACGGGAGGTATGGCTATGGTGGGAGGAATGGGGGAGATGGGAGGTATGGCTATGGTGGGAGGAATGGGGGAGATGGGAGGTATGGCTGTGGTGGGAGGAATGGGGGAGATGGGAGGTATGGCTATGGTGGGAGGAATGGGGGAGATGGGAGGTATGGCTATGGTGGGAGGAATAGGGGAGATGGGAGGTATGGCTATGGTGGGAGGAATAGGGGAGATGGGAGGTATGGCTATGGTGGGAGGAATGGGGGAGATGGGAGGTATGGCTATGGTGGGAGGAATAGGGGAGATGGGAGGTATGGCTATGGTGGGAGGAATAGGGGAGATGGGAGGTATGGCTATGGTGGGAGGAATGGGGGAGATGGGAGGTATGGCTATGGTGGGAGGAATGGGGGAGATGGGAGGTATGGCTGTGGTGGGAGGAATGGGGGAGATGGGAGGTATGGCTGTGGTGGGAGGAATGGGGGAGATGGGAGGTATGGCTATGGTGGGAGGAATAGGGGAGATGGGAGGTATGGCTATGGTGGGAGGAATGGGGGAGATGGGAGGTATGGCTATGGTGGGAGGAATGGGGGAGACGGGAGGTATGGCTATGGTGGGAGGAATGGGGGAGATGGGAGGTATGGCTGTGGTGGGAGGAATGGGGGAGATGGGAGGTATGGCTATGGTGGGAGGAATGGGGGAGATGGGAGGTATGGCTATGGTGGGAGGAATAGGGGAGATGGGAGGAATGGCTATGGTGGGAGGAATGGGGGAGATGGGAGGTATGGCTATGGTGGGAGGAATGGGGGAGATGGGAGGTATGGCTGTGGTGGGAGGAATGGGGGAGATGGGAGGTATGGCTATGGTGGGAGGAATGGGGGAGATGGGAGGTATGGCTATGGTGGGAGGAATGGGGGAGATGGGAGGTATAGCTATGGTGGGAGGAATGGGGGAGATGGGAGGTATGGCTATGGTGGGAGGAATGGGGGAGATGGGAGGTATGGCTATGGTGGGAGGAATGGGGGAGATGGGAGGTATGGCTGTGGTGGGAGGAATGGGGGAGATGGGAGGTATGGCTATGGTGGGAGGAATGGGGGAGATGGGAGGTATGGCTATGGTGGGAGGAATGGGGGAGATGGGAGGTATGGCTATGGTGGGAGGAATGGGGGAGATGGGAGGTATGGCTATGGTGGGAGGAATGGGGGAGATGGGAGGTATGGCTATGGTGGGAGGAATAGGGGAGACGGGAGGTATGGCTATGGTGGGAGGAATGGGGGAGATGGGAGGTATGGCTATGGTGGGAGGAATGGGGGAGATGGGAGGTATGGCTATGGTGGGAGGAATGGGGGAGATGGGAGGTATGGCTATGGTGGGAGGAATGGGGGAGATGGGAGGTATGGCTATGGTGGGAGGAATGGGGGAGATGGGAGGTATGGCTATGGTGGGAGGAATGGGGGAGACGGGAGGTATGGCTATGGTGGGAGGAATGGGGGAGATGGGAGGTATGGCTATGGTGGGAGGAATGGGGGAGATGGGAGGTATGGCTATGGTGGGAGGAATAGGGGAGATGGGAGGTATGGCTATGGTGGGAGGAATGGGGGAGATGGGAGGTATGGCTATGGTGGGAGGAATGGGGGAGATGGGAGGTATGGCTATGGTGGGAGGAATGGGGGAGATGGGAGGTATGGCTATGGTGGGAGGAATAGGGGAGATGGGAGGTATGGCTATGGTGGGAGGAATGGGGGAGATGGGAGGTATGGCTATGGTGGGAGGAATGGGGGAGATGGGAGGTATGGCTATGGTGGGAGGAATGGGGGAGATGGGAGGTATGGCTATGGTGGGAGGAATAGGGGAGATGGGAGGTATGGCTATGGTGGGAGGAATGGGGGAGATGGGAGGTATGGCTATGGTGGGAGGAATGGGGGAGATGGGAGGTATGGCTATGGTGGGAGGAATGGGGGAGATGGGAGGTATGGCTATGGTGGGAGGAATAGGGGAGATGGGAGGTATGGCTATGGTGGGAGGAATGGGGGAGATGGGAGGTATGGCTATGGTGGGAGGAATAGGGGAGATGGGAGGTATGGCTATGGTGGGAGGAATGGGGGAGACGGGAGGTATGGCTATGGTGGGAGGAATGGGGGAGATGGGAGGTATGGCTATGGTGGGAGGAATGGGGGAGACGGGAGGTATGGCTATGGTGGGAGGAATGGGGGAGATGGGAGGTATGGCTATGGTGGGAGGAATGGGGGAGATGGGAGGTATGGCTATGGTGGGAGGAATGGGGGAGATGGGAGGTATGGCTATGGTGGGAGGAATGGGGGAGATGGGAGGTATGGCTATGGTGGGAGGAATGGGGGAGATGGGAGGTATGGCTATGGTGGGAGGAATAGGGGAGATGGGAGGTATGGCTATGGTGGGAGGAATGGGGGAGATGGGAGGTATGGCTATGGTGGGAGGAATGGGGGAGATGGGAGGTATGGCTATGGTGGGAGGAATGGGGGAGATGGGAGGTATGGCTATGGTGGGAGGAATGGGGGAGATGGGAGGTATGGCTATGGTGGGAGGAATGGGGGAGATGGGAGGTATGGCTATGGTGGGAGGAATGGGGGAGATGGGAGGTATGGCTATGGTGGGAGGAATAGGGGAGATGGGAGGTATGGCTATGGTGGGAGGAATGGGGGAGATGGGAGGTATGGCTATGGTGGGAGGAATAGGGGAGACGGGAGGTATGGCTATGGTGGGAGGAATGGGGGAGATGGGAGGTATGGCTATGGTGGGAGGAATGGGGTAGATGGGAGGTATGGCTATGGTGGGAGGAATGGGGGAGATGGGAGGTATGGCTATGGTGGGAGGAATGGGGGAGATGGGAGGTATGGCTATGGTGGGAGGAATAGGGGAGATGGGAGGTATGGCTATGGTGGGAGGAATGGGGGAGATGGGAGGTATGGCTATGGTGGGAGGAATAGGGGAGACGGGAGGTATGGCTATGGTGGGAGGAATGGGGGAGATGGGAGGTATGGCTATGGTGGGAGGAATGGGGGAGATGGGAGGTATGGCTATGGTGGGAGGAATAGGGGAGACGGGAGGTATGGCTATGGTGGGAGGAATGGGGGAGATGGGAGGTATGGCTATGGTGGGAGGAATGGGGGAGATGGGAGGTATGGCTATGGTGGGAGGAATGGGGTAGATGGGAGGTATGGCTATGGTGGGAGGAATGGGGGAGATGGGAGGTATGGCTATGGTGGGAGGAATGGGGGAGATGGGAGGTATGGCTATGGTGGGAGGAATAGGGGAGATGGGAGGTATGGCTATGGTGGGAGGAATAGGGTAGATGGGAGGTATGGCTATGGTGGGAGGAATGGGGGAGATGGGAGGTATGGCTATGGTGGGAGGAATAGGGGAGATGGGAGGTATGGCTATGGTGGGAGGAATGGGGGAGATGGGAGGTATGGCTATGGTGGGAGGAATGGGGTAGATGGGAGGTATGGCTATGGTGGGAGGAATGGGGGAGATGGGAGGTATGGCTATGGTGGGAGGAATGGGGGAGATGGGAGGTATGGCTATGGTGGGAGGAATAGGGGAGATGGGAGGTATGGCTATGGTGGGAGGAATGGGGGAGATGGGAGGTATGGCTATGGTGGGAGGAATGGGGGAGATGGGAGGTATGGCTATGGTGGGGGGAATGGGGGAGATGGGAGGTATGGCTATGGTGGGAGGAATGGGGGAGACGGGAGGTATGGCTATGGTGGGAGGAATGGGGGAGATGGGAGGTATGGCTGTGGTGGGAGGAATGGGGGAGATGGGAGGTATGGCTATGGTGGGAGGAATGGGGGAGACGGGAGGTATGGCTATGGTGGGAGGAATGGGGGAGATGGGAGGTATGGCTATGGTGGGAGGAATAGGGGAGATGGGAGGTATGGCTGTGGTGGGAGGAATGGGGGAGATGGGAGGTATGGCTATGGTGGGGGGAATGGGGGAGATGGGAGGTATGGCTATGGTGGGAGGAATGGGGGAGATGGGAGGTATGGCTATGGTGGGAGGAATGGGGGAGACGGGAGGTATGGCTATGGTGGGAGGAATGGGGGAGATGGGAGGTATGGCTGTGGTGGGAGGAATGGGGGAGATGGGAGGTATGGCTATGGTGGGAGGAATGGGGGAGACGGGAGGTATGGCTATGGTGGGAGGAATGGGGGAGATGGGAGGTATGGCTATGGTGGGAGGAATAGGGGAGATGGGAGGTATGGCTGTGGTGGGAGGAATGGGGGAGATGGGAGGTATGGCTATGGTGGGAGGAATAGGGGAGATGGGAGGTATGGCTATGGTGGGAGGAATGGGGGAGATGGGAGGTATGGCTATGGTGGGAGGAATGGGGGAGATGGGAGGTATGGCTATGGTGGGAGGAATGGGGGAGATGGGAGGTATGGCTGTGGTGGGAGGAATGGGGGAGATGGGAGGTATGGCTATGGTGGGAGGAATGGGGGAGATGGGAGGTATGGCTATGGTGGGAGGAATGGGGGAGACGGGAGGTATGGCTATGGTGGGAGGAATGGGGGAGATGGGAGGTATGGCTATGGTGGGAGGAATAGGGGAGATGGGAGGTATGGCTATGGTGGGAGGAATGGGGGAGATGGGAGGTATGGCTATGGTGGGAGGAATGGGGGAGATGGGAGGTATGGCTATGGTGGGAGGAATAGGGGAGATGGGAGGTATGGCTATGGTGGGAGGAATAGGGGAGATGGGAGGTATGGCTGTGGTGGGAGGAATGGGGGAGATGGGAGGTATGGCTATGGTGGGAGGAATGGGGGAGATGGGAGGTATGGCTATGGTGGGAGGAATGGGGGAGATGGGAGGTATGGCTATGGTGGGAGGAATGGGGGAGATGGGAGGTATGGCTATGGTGGGAGGAATAGGGGAGATGGGAGGTATGGCTGTGGTGGGAGGAATGGGGGAGATGGGAGGTATGGCTATGGTGGGAGGAATGGGGTAGATGGGAGGTATGGCTATGGTGGGAGGAATGGGGTAGATGGGAGGTATGGCTATGGTGGGAGGAATGGGGTAGATGGGAGGTATGGCTATGGTGGGAGGAATGGGGTAGATGGGAGGTATGGCTATGGTGGGAGGAATAGGGGAGATGGGAGGTATGGCTATGGTGGGAGGAATGGGGGAGATGGGAGGTATGGCTATGGTGGGAGGAATGGGGTAGATGGGAGGTATGGCTATGGTGGGAGGAATGGGGGAGATGGGAGGTATGGCTATGGTGGGAGGAATAGGGGAGATGGGAGGTATGGCTATGGTGGGAGGAATGTGGGAGATGGGAGGTATGGCTATGGTGGGAGGAATAGGGGAGATGGGAGGTATGGCTATGGTGGGAGGAATGTGGGAGATGGGAGGTATGGCTATGGTGGGAGGAATGGGGTAGATGGGAGGTATGGCTATGGTGGGAGGAATAGGGGAGATGGGAGGTATGGCTATGGTGGGAGGAATGGGGGAGATGCGAGGTATGGTTATGGTGGGAGGAATGGGGGAGATGGGAGGTATGGCTATGGTGGGAGGAATAGGGGAGATGGGAGGTATGGCTATGGTGGGAGGAATGTGGGAGATGGGAGGTATGGCTATGGTGGGAGGAATGGGGTAGATGGGAGGTATGGCTATGGTGGGAGGAATAGGGGAGATGGGAGGTATGGCTATGGTGGGAGGAATGGGGGAGATGCGAGGTATGGTTATGGTGGGAGGAATGGGGGAGATGGGAGGTATGGCTATGGTGGGAGGAATAGGGGAGATGGGAGGTATGGCTATGGTGGGAGGAATGGGGGAGATGGGAGGTATGGCTATGGTGGGAGGAATAGGGGAGATGGGAGGTATGGCTATGGTGGGAGGAATGTGGGAGATGGGAGGTATGGCTATGGTGGGAGGAATGGGGTAGATGGGAGGTATGGCTATGGTGGGAGGAATAGGGGAGATGGGAGGTATGGCTATGGTGGGAGGAATGGGGGAGATGCGAGGTATGGTTATGGTGGGAGGAATGGGGGAGATGGGAGGTATGGCTATGGTGGGAGGAATAGGGGAGATGGGAGGTATGGCTATGGTGGGAGGAATGGGGGAGATGGGAGGTATGGCTATGGTGGGAGGAATGGGGTAGATGGGAGGTATGGCTATGGTGGGAGGAATGGGGGAGATGCGAGGTATGGTTATGGTGGGAGGAATGGGGGAGATGGGAGGTATGGCTATGGTGGGAGGAATAGGGGAGATGGGAGGTATGGCTATGGTGGGAGGAATGGGGGAGATGGGAGGTATGGCTATGGTGGGAGGAATGGGGGAGATGGGAGGTATGGCTATGGTGGGAGGAATGGGGGAGATGGGAGGTATGGCTATGGTGGGAGGAATGGGGGAGATGGGAGGTATGGCTATGGTGGGAGGAATGGGGTAGATGGGAGGTATGGCTATGGTGGGAGGAATAGGGGAGATGCGAGGTATGGCTATGGTGGGAGGAATAGGGGAGATGGGAGGTATGGCTATGGTGGGAGGAATAGGGGAGATGGGAGGTATGGCTATGGTGGGAGGAATGGGGGAGATGGGAGGTATGGTTATGGTGGGAGGAATGGGGGAGATGGGAGGTATGGCTATGGTGGGAGGAATGGGGGAGATGGGAGGTATGGCTATGGTGGGAGGAATGGGGTAGATGGGAGGTATGGCTATGGTGGGAGGAATAGGGGAGATGGGAGGTATGGCTATGGTGGGAGGAATAGGGGAGATGGGAGGTATGGCTATGGTGGGAGGAATAGGGGAGATGGGAGGTATGGCTATGGTGGGAGGAATGGGGGAGATGGGAGGTATGGCTATGGTGGGAGGAATGGGGGAGATGGGAGGTATGGCTATGGTGGGAGGAATAGGGTAGATGGGAGGTATGGCTATGGTGGGAGGAATGGGGGAGATGGGAGGTATGGCTATGGTGGGAGGAATGGGGTAGATGGGAGGTATGGCTATGGTGGGAGGAATGGGGGAGATGGGAGGTATGGCTATGGTGGGAGGAATAGGGTAGATGGGAGGTATGGCTATGGTGGGAGGAATGGGGGAGATGGGAGGTATGGCTATGGTGGGAGGAATGGGGGAGATGGGAGGTATGGCTATGGTGGGAGGAATAGGGTAGATGGGAGGTATGGCTATGGTGGGAGGAATGGGGTAGATGGGAGGTATGGCTATGGTGGGAGGAATGGGGTAGATGGGAGGTATGGCTATGGTGGGAGGAATAGGGGAGATGCGAGGTATGGTTATGGTGGGAGGAATGGGGGAGATGGGAGGTATGGCTATGGTGGGAGGAATGGGGGAGATGGGAGGTATGGCTATGGTGGGAGGAATGGGGTAGATGGGAGGTATGGCTATGGTGGGAGGAATGGGGTAGATGGGAGGTATGGCTATGGTGGGAGGAATAGGGGAGATGCGAGGTATGGTTATGGTGGGAGGAATGGGGGAGATGGGAGGTATGGCTATGGTGGGAGGAATGGGGGAGATGGGAGGTATGGCTATGGTGGGAGGAATAGGGGAGATGGGAGGTATGGCTATGGTGGGAGGAATGGGGGAGATGGGAGGTATGGCTATGGTGGGAGGAATGGGGGAGATGGGAGGTATGGCTATGGTGGGAGGAATGGGGTAGATGGGAGGTATGGTTATGGTGGGAGGAATAGGGGAGATGGGAGGTATGGCTATGGTGGGAGGAATAGGGGAGATGGGAGGTATGGCTATGGTGGGAGGAATAGGGGAGATGGGAGGTATGGCTATGGTGGGAGGAATGGGGGAGATGGGAGGTATGGCTATGGTGGGAGGAATGGGGGAGATGGGAGGTATGGCTATGGTGGGAGGAATGGGGGAGATGGGAGGTGTGGCGATGGTGGGGGGCATGGGGGAGGGACGGGATGGGTGGAGCATGAGAGGTGTGAAGGAAGGTGTGGTGGGTCAGCGACGGTGGTGGGGGAAGCGAGGGGGGAGTGAGAGGAGGATGGGATGAAGGGGAGATGGGGAGAGAGAAGGGCAGCAGGAGAGGTGAGGGAGGCGAGGGAGAGTAGGATGGAGTGCAGGGGGGGGATGGGAGGGCGGGGGGAGTGGCAGAAGCGGAGTACTAGGGAGGGGCGAGAAGGGATGGGAATGGATGGGAGAGTGAACGAGGGGGAGGTGGATGGAGGCAGGTGGGTGGGGAATAAGTGGGCAGGCGAAGGCTTGGGAGGGGGAAGGGAGGAGATTAGGGAGGGGAGGAGAAGCGAGGGGAGGAAAAGGGGGGGAAGTGAAGGGAGGGGAGCGGAAGGAAGAGGAGGAGGAGAGCTGGGAAGAGAAAGAGGCGGGGGGGAGGGAGAAAAGATGGCAAGAAGGCAGCGAGGTAAAGAGGCAAACTCAGCTGATTACTAAGTGGAGGCATGCAGCAGGTGAGGCGATGAGTATTCGAGTCGTTTCAAAAACACCCTGTGAACCAAAGGCGAATTTCTGGAGACTGCTGATGCAAGCAGGCATGTAGCGGGTGAGGCGAGGAGTTTTGAGAGTTTTTATAGTCTTGAGGCAGAACAAAAGGCGAATTCAGCTGACAGCATACATTGGCATGGACGCATTCAGATGGTGAGGCGAGGCACGGAACAGATCACTCGTTGTTCAGTCGCCACCAAACACCACCACTAAACTCCACTGAACACCATCGAGGTATGGCGATGTGCGCCCCAACGCCTCAAGGTGTGCCTTGGCGATTGCTCGCATGCTCACAGCCTTGCCCCCACGGTTACCCTGCCACCAACACCCCTTGCTGCACCCATCTCCTACCTCACACCCATCTCCTCCCTCACACCCATCTCCTCCCTCACACCCATCTACCTCACACCCATCTCTTACCTCACACCCATCTTTTCCCTCACACCCATCTCCTCCCTCACACCCATCTCCTCCCTCACACCCATCTCCTCCCTCACACCCATCTCCTCCCTCACACCCATCTCCTCCCTCACACCCATCTCCTACCTCACACCCATCTCCTACCTCACACCCATCTCCTACCTCACACCCATCTCCTACCTCACACCCATCTCCTCCCTCACACCCATCTCCTCCCTCACACCCATCTCCTACCTCACACCCATCTCTTACCTCACACCCATCTCCTCCCTCACACCCATCTCCTCCCTCACACCCATCTCCTCCCTCACACCCATCTCCTCCCTCACACCCATCTCCTCCCTCACACCCATCTCCTCCCTCACACCCATCTCCTACCTCACACCCATCTCCTACCTCACACCCATCTCCTCCCTCACACCCATCTCCTACCTCACACCCATCTCCTCCCTCACACCCATCTCCTCCCTCACACCCATCTCCTCCCTCACACCCATCTCCTCCCTCACACCCATCTCCTACCTCATACCCATCTCCTACCTCACACCCATCTCCTCCCTCACACCCATCTCCTCCCTCACACCCATCTCCTCCCTCACACCCATCTCCTCCCTCACACCCATCTCCTCCCTCACACCCATCTCCTACCTCACACCCATCTCCTCCCTCACACCCATCTCCTACCTCACACCCATCTCCTACCTCACACCCATCTCCTCCCTCACACCCATCTCCTACCTCACACCCATCTCTTACCTCACACCCATCTCCTCCCTCACACCCATCTCCTCCCTCACACCCATCTCCTCCCTCACACCCATCTCCTCCCTCACACCCATCTCCTCCCTCACACCCATCTCCTACCTCACACCCATCTCCTACCTCACACCCATCTCCTACCTCACACCCATCTCCTCCCTCACACCCATCTCCTCCCTCACACCCATCTCCTCCCTCACACCCATCTCCTCCCTCACACCCATCTCCTACCTCACACCCATCTCCTCCCTCACACCCATCTCCTCCCTCACACCCATCTCCTCCCTCACACCCATCTCCTCCCTCACACCCATCTCCTCCCTCACACCCATCTCCTCCCTCACACCCATCTCCTCCCTCACACCCATCTCCTACCTCACACCCATCTCCTCCCTCACACCCATCTCCTACCTCACACCCATCTCTTACCTCACACCCATCTCCTCCCTCACACCCATCTCCTCCCTCACACCCATCTCCTCCCTCACACCCATCTCCTCCCTCACACCCATCTCCTCCCTCACACCCATCTCCTACCTCACACCCATCTCCTACCTCACACCCATCTCCTCCCTCACACCCATCTCCTCCCTCACACCCATCTCCTACCTCACACCCATCTCCTACCTCACACCCATCTCCTACCTCACACCCATCTCCTACCTCACACCCATCTCCTCCCTCACACCCATCTCCTCCCTCACACCCATCTCCTACCTCACACCCATCTCTTACCTCACACCCATCTCCTCCCTCACACCCATCTCCTCCCTCACACCCATCTCCTCCCTCACACCCATCTCCTCCCTCACACCCATCTCCTCCCTCACACCCATCTCCTACCTCACACCCATCTCCTACCTCACACCCATCTCCTCCCTCACACCCATCTCCTACCTCACACCCATCTCCTCCCTCACACCCATCTCCTCCCTCACACCCATCTCCTCCCTCACACCCATCTCCTCCCTCACACCCATCTCCTACCTCATACCCATCTCCTACCTCACACCCATCTCCTCCCTCACACCCATCTCCTCCCTCACACCCATCTCCTCCCTCACACCCATCTCCTCCCTCACACCCATCTCCTCCCTCACACCCATCTCCTACCTCACACCCATCTCCTCCCTCACACCCATCTCCTACCTCACACCCATCTCCTACCTCACACCCATCTCCTCCCTCACACCCATCTCCTACCTCACACCCATCTCTTACCTCACACCCATCTCCTCCCTCACACCCATCTCCTCCCTCACACCCATCTCCTCCCTCACACCCATCTCCTCCCTCACACCCATCTCCTCCCTCACACCCATCTCCTACCTCACACCCATCTCCTACCTCACACCCATCTCCTACCTCACACCCATCTCCTCCCTCACACCCATCTCCTCCCTCACACCCATCTCCTCCCTCACACCCATCTCCTCCCTCACACCCATCTCCTACCTCACACCCATCTCCTCCCTCACACCCATCTCCTCCCTCACACCCATCTCCTCCCTCACACCCATCTCCTCCCTCACACCCATCTCCTCCCTCACACCCATCTCCTCCCTCACACCCATCTCCTCCCTCACACCCATCTCCTACCTCACACCCATCTCCTCCCTCACACCCATCTCCTACCTCACACCCATCTCTTACCTCACACCCATCTCCTCCCTCACACCCATCTCCTCCCTCACACCCATCTCCTCCCTCACACCCATCTCCTCCCTCACACCCATCTCCTCCCTCACACCCATCTCCTACCTCACACCCATCTCCTACCTCACACCCATCTCCTCCCTCACACCCATCTCCTCCCTCACACCCATCTCCTACCTCACACCCATCTCCTCCCTCACACCCATCTCCTACCTCACACCCATCTCCTCCCTCACACCCCCCTTCTCCTTCCTCACACACACCGCCCCCTTCGCCTTTGCCTTCCCAGCAGGTACGCCCACCAGGTGGTCACCCGGGAGCTGAAAACGCTCGCACTGCCAGTCCCATACCCCACAAACTCCCCTCCTTCCCTCCTGCCGCCCCCCTCACCTCTGGTCAAACCCAGGTGCTCCCGCCAGGTGCTCCCACCAGGTGCTCCCACAGGAGCTGAGCACACTACCTCTGGTGTCTAGGCTGCTGGCTCAACCCCCTTCCTCGCTCGCACCTCTTCCTGCTGTCTTCCACTCTCTCCCCCTTCTGTCCCCTCGTCCCCCCTCTTGCCCCCTGCCCCCCACCCCAAGGTACGCCCACCAGGTGGCCACTCCCGAGCCCAACGCACTGCTGGCAGAGCTGCTACTCCATATCCCCTTCCTCTCCTCCACATCCCCCCATACCCGCATGCCCCTCTACCCCACCTGCCGCCTCTCTCCCCCCTCTGCCCCCCTATACCCCAGGTACGCCCAGCGGAGCTATCAGGTGTTGAATGTGGTGGGGTGTGGCGTCATCTGGTACCATATGGTGAGGTGGGGAATTGGGGGGGTGTGCATGTGTGAGGGTAGTGCAAGCAGTATTGCCGTGCTTGTGCCTCTCTCCCAGCGCAGCCTCGCCAAGATGACTGCATGCTCAGAGTTGCTAGAGGCTCACTTGGGGCGTTGGTGCTGTCAGGTAGCACATGGTGAGGTGGGGATCGGGAGAGTGCATGTGTGAGGGGCAATGCATGCAGCATCCCTAGACGCTGCTTGGCCAAGGTGAGTATGCCGTGTGTCCAGCCAAGAGGGGGGGAAGGGGGGGGGAAGGAGTGGGGGAAAAGCGGAAGGTGGGGAACGGGTCGAATACAGGACGAGATGGGCTGTTGTTTCTATTTCGGGGGTGCTTGTGTGACAGGTAAGCGTGCAGGATTCCCGTGGTCGTGGCGGCTCTCTCCAGACGCCTCCTCATTCAAGTGAGTGCAGGTGTTGGATGTGGTGGGATGTGGTGCTATCCGGTAACACATGTTAGGAAGGGTGTTTGCATGAGGGGGTGCATGCACGAAGCTTTCTCATGCCACAGTTAAGGTGGTTTCTCTCTTGTTACCAACTGTGGTAACCTCACTTGGTGACCTCACTCCCTCCCTGTTAGGTTTCACTTGAATGTGTTTGCATTTACCTCTCCCCACCTCGTCACCTTCGCCTTTATAAGCAGCTTCTATTATCCTTCCGTCTCCTACCTCCCTCCTCACCTCTTCTCCTTGCACTACATTGCCCTTATCCACTCCTTCCACTAACATCACATCACGCCCTGCCAGGCGTTGAACCGCCCGCGCTGTCGAGTGAGTGGCGTGGCCATTCTGGACGACAATGGGGCGCACAGGCTGCTCGAGAGCGTGCTGGCGGAGGCACAGAGGGGGAGGGAGGGAATTATGGCGGGAGGGGCAGGTGGGGCAGGAGGCAGTTGGTACGTGAGTGGTGGGAAGAAAGCGCAGGGGCACAGGCATGCCCCTGGAGCGCACATGCTAATGGGGATATGATGGGGCCAGAGAGGGGCAAATCGTCACCATGCTCCCACCACCATCTCACTCCCACCACCATCTCACTCCCACCACCATCTCACTCCCACCACCATCTCACTCCCACCACCATCTCACTCCCACCACCATCTCACTCCCACCACCATCTCACTCCCACCACCATCTCACTCCCACCACCATCTCACTCCCGCCCCACCATCTCTGCCAGGAAATGAAGCCTGGTGGGACAGCAAAAAGGTTCACCAGGCAGGGTGCAGCAAAAACCACTAGTCAAATGCGTAGTCATGAGTAAGAATGCGGGTGAGTATTCAACTTGTGTTGTGTGTCCCAGTTCTCGACTCGTCCCTGTGCTTCACCCGCCGCCGCCTCCTCGCATCTGCCCCACCTGCTGCAGCACGTAGCTTCGCTGCACCTTCGTTGGCCTCTTGTCAGCTCCAAGGCCACCACCCGACTTTCTGCTGCAGCCCAGCTGCAGCCGGCACTTGGGCTGCTGCTACTTGTGCTGCGTCAACGAGTGCAAGGATCCCTCCGATCCCTCGGCTCCTGCCCGCCTTACACCTGCCACGCCACTGGCGACGCACACCGTCATGGCACTGGGGAAGTGCAATGCGGAGAGGGAAAGGAACAGAGGGGGGGTTCAGGAGGGGGAGGGGGTGTGTGTGGGGGAGGGGGGAGGGCGTGGGGTGTGGGGGAGGGGAACAGATCCCCGTCGTCCGTGTCGCTGTGGCTCACATCTACGGGAGGCAGCAAGGCGTAGGGTCGTGGGGGCCTGGGAGGGCGTCGCAGGGTGAGGAAATGCGCTTCCACCGCAGGCGTCGAGAAAGCGCATTCGCAAGAGCGGAAAGTAGAAACCGAGGAAGGGGAATCGCAGGCGAAAGTGCGAGGTGAGATGATCAGCGGGAGAGGAGGCGGAGGGGAGACTGGAAAGGGAATATCAGGGCGAGGAAGTCCTGTTGACGCGGTCGCATTCGGTCGATTCACTATTGCCATTGCAGGTTATATTGCCAAACACATGCTGCAACATTGCTCGCTTTGACTTGGAAGCCGCTTCCCCCTTCGTCTGCGCTTTCACGAAACTACCAGTAAACACCCCCCCCCTCCCCTCCTCCTCCCCCCCCCCCCCCCCCCCCCCGCATTTTATACGTCTCTCTCCCCGCTTCCGCCTCGCCTTCTCCTGCCATCGCCTACGCATCCCTACTCGCTCCTGAGCATGCTGCTGCTCTCTCTATGCCGCCAATCCCGCGATCGCCACGGCCCTGCCCCGTGCTGCCCATGAATGCGGACAGGGCAGGTGACACACTCCCACGGTACGGGAGTAGCAACGCCGACGCCGCTCACCGTGTTTGGCGCATTTCAGCAGAAGCTGGTAGTACGCCAGCGACTGGCAGTACGCCGGCGCGTCCGACTCGGACGATGTGGACAGCTTGGCGACAATCGCACGCCGTTTCGCATATCAAAGTAACTGAATTGTGTTGGGAAGCAGAGGGCCTTCCAAGGAGACGAGAGGAGCACGAGGGGCGCGGGGGCTGAATGGACTAAGCAGCCAGACTCGGGCTGTTGAGATCGAAGTGAGCACTCGCAACGGGTTTCACATAGGCGCGAGAAGAGGAAGGGGATCGACAGCTGTGCAGTGCCGTGTGACGCGAGTGCAACCATCGTCATGGAGTTGAGGCGCGCCTGGAACGAGGCGCTGGCGGTGATAGATGGTAGATAGATGTCCCGTCACTACTGCCATAGTTGGGCTATGGTTCGGAAATTAGGGCTGAAAGCTACTCAGAAATGGCGAGAATGTGATTCAAAAGCAGGCCTGTCGTTTCGTTTTGGGCCCCCCGGACAAATCAGGGGGCCCGGCATGTATGACCCTGAATTAAGCAGGGTTGGGGCGAATCTCGGCCCTTTAGGCTTCAGGGATGGAAAATTCCGGAGCCTCATTTCAACTACCAAGCTTACAACTACGTTTGAGATGAACCACAAGCAAGCAAACACGACATAAAGAGAAAAAGTTAGTGTCATATCACTAAGTACGCTTTGCAGGCTTCCTATCCTTTGCAGAACCGATGATCTTGTGCACTCTTCTACCCACTCCACAGGATGGTTCTTGCGCACTTCTACCCTAAACCCAAGTTCTAGGTTGAGTTGAATTTGTGGCCCAACCACGCAACTCGAAATTTGCCAGGTTGGATGCAATCAGGTTAGAAACGAAGGGGAGAGGAGAGGGAGGAGTCTTGGGGGGGGGGGGGGGGGGGTGGGAGGGGAGGGGAAGGGGGGGCTCGAAAGATTTTGTTCCAGGGCTCGCCTAAAATCTGTCCTTTACCAACCAGGCCTAAGCCCAAAATCAGCCCTGTAAAGAATCAGGGCCAGAATATTTCCAGCCCATCAATTTCAGTTTTCAAGGGCAACCCAGCCCTGGAATTCAAGGTCCAGCAGGGCAAACGCCCTGCAATCGACAGCCCTGTTCAAAAGCCTCCTCATACCAATCAAGGGCTATCTTTTGAGACGAGGGTAACCTTGCTAGGCGAAAACCTCGGGTGGAGGTTTGGGAAAAGGTGGAATCGAAAAGTTCGGAAGCAAAACCAGTCAGCTTCGGTGTGGTCAACTCGAGCGAGCCTGATCCCCGTCAAGTTCGGGGCTTCGTACGCGTTAGCGACGTGAACGAATCTGGTAATGTCGCCTTCCCAAACCGAATCCGAATGCACAGACCTACGAAGTCTCCGCCTCCCTCGAGGAGACACAAAATTTTCGAGCCGAACCGGCGCCAGAAGCACACCCTTTGCTTCGGCATGGCAAAGCTGGAGTAGCCGTGCCAGCCTTGAAGTCCCCCGCGAGGGCCATTGCTGCGACTCGAGCTCCAGACCTGTTCCACGCGAACTCAGAGCTTCGCACTAACGACATGAACGAACTCGGTAACCTTCCAGCAGGCAGAACTGATCCAAAGCAACCCGCCTCAGCGGTCTCCTCCGCTCTCACCTGGTCGCCTTGAGGAGCCTCTGCTCGAGCAGAAAGCCGAGTAAATCCATCCAAGTAGGAGTAGGATCACGTGGCTTTCACGTTAGAGGCTTTAGAAGTAGGATCCGCTGTGCGTTGTCGGTCTATTTTTTAGGCGCCTAAGAATTGGACGCTATGCTTCACTGTCGGTCCTCCCAGGTTTAGTCGTCGTGATGGGTGCTTTGAGCTATCGGCTCGGCGCGCTTATGCTCTTCCTGCCGCAGTCTGACGTGTTTCGACGTGATTTGACGTGTTTCGACGTGATTTACAGTGTGACTATTGTACCCCTCCCAAGGTCCATGTAGTGCTTTCCTTTCGCCACGCTGCGATTTCGCCATGTCACGCCGTCATCTCGTAATGTCACGCCGTCTTTTCGCCGCGTCGCGCTGCCATACCGCCATGTCACGCACCCATTTCGCGTGTCACTCTGCCATCTCGCCATGTAACGCCGCCATCTCGCCATGTAACGCCGCCATCTCGCTTGTCAAACCGCCATTCGTCATGTCGCGTCGTCATTTCGCCGTGTCGCGCTGCCACGTCGCCATGTCAAGCCCTCGCCATGTCATTTCGCACGTCATGCCGCCACTCCGCCATATCACGCCTTCAGTTCGCCTCGTCGCGCCACCTTTCCCCACGTCGCGCCGCCACTTCGCCATGTCGCGCCGCCATTCATCATCTAGAGATTGGCAAACGGCAGTTTGCCCCAAATCTGAACGTAATCCTGCCTGTTAAACAGTCGCTCCAAGCGTATTTCATCCATTTCCCTTGGGCTATTTTCGTTCCTGGAGGGAACCCGCCGCCATCCCACTAGCGTGCATCTGCAGTCCGCCGCTGTCCGCTGTGCGTTGGCGAATGGCAGTCTGCCCCCACCCCTCAACGCAACCCTGCGTTAAAGAGTCGCGCCGAGCGTAAAGCATCCCTTTCCCTTCAGCTCTTCCCTTCAGCTCGTCCCGTTCCACCTGCCGCCATTCCACTAGCTTGCATCTGCAGTCCGCTGTGTTTTGGGGTGTGGCCGTGTCATGGCCTGGTGATCCGGCGTTATGGTCTTTTCTGCTCTGCTCGGTCTGGTCAACTCTGGTCCGCTCTAGTCATGTCCGCTTTGCTGTGATGTTTGCTTGCCGGCAGGTGGGAGGAGTGAGGCGGTAGGTGAGTGCTTTGGCAGCACCGTATGCCCCATGGCTCTGCCCCCCAGCTGTTTCCCCCGACTCTGCCCCATGGCTCTGACGAGTCGGCTGACAGCCTTGTTGCTGAATTCAAGTGGAGAGAGCAAGTGAGTGATGGGGGGGAGGGGAAGTGAGCGACAGGGAATGAGAGTGATTGGGGAGAGAAACGGAGTGAGTGAAAGGGGTAGAAGATTGAGTGAGTGAAGTGGGGAGCAAGGAGGCAGAGCCTCCCAGGTGTGACAGAGGGAGCGAGAGCGAGTGCAGAAGAGGGAGGTGGGTTGGTTGGAAATAAGCGTCTCTCCTCTACATTCTTCCCCAGGGTGAATTCCGCTGCTCTCTCAGCAGACGCGAGCAGCAGCACGCTGTGATGGCTTCTCCATTCCATTCGTCGCAGTATAGCGGAAAAGGGGCTGGGTGGGTGGGACCAGGTGTGGACGGGCGATGTGTGGGCGTGACATGCCTCAGCAGAGTTGGGGCGTGACATGTGTTGGACTACGAATGGAAGGAGATCGGAAGATGGAGGGGGGGAGAGAGGGGGTGGGGGGGGTTGGGTGCTTTTGTGCATGGTTATGCAATGCACACTTGAGGAGGAGCAGGCACTTCGAGATTTGATTGCATCACCACGTGCCCCACACGCCATCATGCTTCACATTTCATTCCATAGCAAGGGGTGGGACATACCGCGATTGCCATTCAGGTGCAAGTCTCACGGGCCGGGCCGTGGCGATTTGGAGAGGTAGGTAGCTCAAGAAAAGCGGGACGGCAAAGGGCGAGGCGGATGCTCCCTTGTGCCTGCTCCTCTGGCCCCGCCAATCCCCTAGTACAGTCTTATGACACCCCGCGCTCCCATTGGCTGGAAGGCGCCCTTTCAGTTGATGGCTTCCTCAAGGGCGGCTTTTCGGTGAAGTGTAGCAGTGCGACTGGTGTGGCAATGCGGAGTCGAAGAGCTGAGTTGGATCATGTGGCAGCAGCAGCGTGGCCCTGCTTCACCGCAACGGTGAGGAATGTGAATGAAACAACAGCCAGCTGCAAGCGGCTTTGACGACTGCAGCAGGCTTCTCTCAATCCCATCTCTCGCCTTCCATCCGTTGCTACCTGCTGACTGAACATGCCCCCTCCCTTTGCGCCGTCACCTCTGCGCCCTATTCTGGCGCTTGTTTGCTGTCTCCCGTCGCTCTTCCCTCCTTCCCCCCCTCCCCACCCACCCGTAGAAGTCAGCGCCCGGCACAGATTCAATGGTGGCTGTCACTGCCGAATCTGCCGAGGGCGAAGGCTCTGCGGTGTGCCACTGGTAGAGCGGGTGGAATGCGCGCGACGTCTTAGCTGACGGCAGCAGAGCGAGGATGGTGGCAACGCAGAGGTGAGAGAAGCCTTGTAGGATGGAAGGCACCCTCGCCTCGCCACAGTGGCAGAGGAATCTGGATTTTTCTCTATCCTCCGGTTCCGTGCTCGCATCCCATTCCATATTTCGCCTAATTTGATGTTTCTGGCGCTAGGTTTAATGGATGAAACTGAGCACTGCATTTCCCATGTGCCGGGTAATGTCTTCCATTTCCGCCCTCTTTGCTCTGCAGATCGCTGCAACCTCCTTCTCCTTGTTCCCCCCCCCCTCCCCCCCCCCCCACCCCACACTCACTCCCTTCCCGTTCCCGCACCAACAGCATGACATGATTTTGAAACCCAAGGCCTCATCTTGCGCGACAACTGTGGATTTGGCGAGGAGCGTGATATGAGAGTGAAGTTTGGCTGACGCCGCGCACGGCTGCATCGTGGAAGCATGTGGGTGGAATGGATGCAGCTGCCTTCGCACCTGATGCTTTCCAAGTGAACAGCAGCAGGGCAAGGATGGTGCCAACGCTGAGGTGAGAGAAGCCGAGCAGCAGGATGGAAGGCACCTCAACAGTGACTTATGGATGGTAGTCATCCGTCTCTGTCACCATCGCCGCTATCTTCATTCTGCTTTGTTGGCACCCTAGTACCAGAATCGCCACCTTTAATATGCACTGATAAATCTCAGCACTACTCCCACGTATGCAGTACCACCACCCGCTATTGTGCGCTCTTCCCCCAATCCGTCCCCTCCCCACCCACACCCGCAGTACCCATCCTGTCCTAGCGGCGAGCAGCGCAGCTCACTGCAACACACAGCCTGGCAGGCAGCAGAGGCACGAGAGTACATTCACGCGAGAAGTGGGTGCACACAGGCGAGCAGGGAGGCATGGGGGCGAAGGGCCAGGCTGCAGCTGTTGTATGGCCTTGTGTAAGTGGTGTTAACTCATTGCGTGATGATGATCATGTGGGGCTTTTAGTCTCTGCTTAAAAAATCTGAGGTGCAAACACATGGCATCATCACATGCCATGGGTGCAGGTTGCTTCTCACCTGACGGCAGGCGGGGCGAGAGCAGCCGAATAGGTGGAAGTGAATCACCTCGCTTCTTCCATACTGTTCTGCCGCTCTTCTCTCCTTTGCTCCCGCTATGGTCCTTCTGGCGCTCGTTTTCCGATGGAAACATGAATTTCAGCGCTGGTGCTAAACCATAAGCTTGTTTCCACTCTCCCCTCCTTGCTCCGCAGTATGCCGGTACTACCCTCTCCCCCACTCACTAACCTTCTCGCACCAACAGCAGCGCCCGTACTGGCTGTGAGAGCAGGAACGCAACCATGCGGAGTCGAGGAGCTGCGATGTCACGATATGTGAGAACTCGCTGCAAAGGAAGGGGGACCGATGGCGGAGAACATAGAGTCGAGGTTTTCTGAGGGTAAGCCATAGGGTAGGAGGTGGCAGGGGCGACAAAAGCAGAAGGGGAAGCAGTTGGAGACGAAGGAGGGGAGGAGGGCGAAGAGAGACGATGAGGAGAGACGTCAGAGAGGGAGGTGGAGGAGGAGAGGAGGTGGCAGTGGCAGCAGGAGATGATGCGTGTGACAGCAGGGGACAACGCGGTACACCAAGGGGTCATCATGAGCTGCGCAAGAACCTGGGAAGCATTAGCAACGTCGCTTTCACGGGGTGAGCGGGGGCAGTGCGAGCGTGCGAGGGCAAAGAGCATGACCTGGTGTTCGTGTTGAGTGTGGCTTGTGCTTGACATGTTCTCAAAATTGCCAGTTAATATGCGCTTGATTCTGCTTCAGGAACTGAGGCATTGCGGGCATGCAAGTGCATGAAAATGACATGCGGGCCTCGTGGCGAGGGAACTTGTGCGTTCCCACATGTTCGGCGGTGGTGATTCACATTGATGGGGTGGAGGCAGCAAAAGCAAAGTGTGAATGTGACGAGCTTGATGTGTGCATGGTGAGGCAGATGGTGCTATAAGTGCATGCCACCTCCTCTTGTTGAATGACCAGGCACAATCGATGTGAGTCGCACAAAAGAGGTTGATAGTATCATGGGAGAATAGGTGGAAATCAAAGGACTACTTTATCATACAACCATTGTGCGATAATGTATCGCACAGAACTGTTACAAACTTCCTGCAGCATATTTATTGAGTAAAAACTGGCAATTGGAGATACACACAAACTAGGTAGAAGGAATTAAAGTCATAACCTTGGTCGAACTTTAGCGCCTCCTGTTCCGAGGCGTTCGCGTAAGCTGGTTCGGAAGTCAAACCGCGCCAAACCACCCCCGAGTCGCACCCGCACCTTTCGCCACACTTCCGAGCCTCGTTTTTCCGAGGCCCTCACCTAGCTAGGGTTTCCCCGATATCATCCCGTCATTTCAATTCTATCGTCACTCTCTCTGTTATCGCACTCCCGATTTTCACTGATTCCGTGCACTATCCGCAATCGTAAGCCCGCTTCTAGCGAGAATCGCTTCACACTCATGGCAAGCACAGCAGCAGATCGCAAACGACAGGTGGAAAAGGCTGGCAGCGCGTTCTTTCGAATGAAGAACCAGCGACTAGGTTAGTAGTTACGAAAGACCAGGGTCAGTTTCGTTGGGAAATATAGATGGTGCGCGCTGGTCCAGTCACAGCGGCAGCGGCGTCACGCGGTGCATGTCGGTGCTGCGCGCCTCGCCTGGCGTGCGCCCACCGCCCTTCCGCCAGGCTCGCCTGCAGCCGCGTGGGCGGAACTGAATCGGCAGGTGTGCGTGTGACGAGGCGGGTGAGATGCGCGCCACCACTGGTGGAGGGATGCGTGGGACTGCGGTGGCACGGAGTGATGCGAGGTGATACAGGAAATAGGCAGGCGGAAATAGGGACGGGAAATAGGCAGGCGGAAATAGGGACGGGAAATAGGCAGGCGGAAATAGGGACGGGAAATAGGCAGGCGGAAATAGGGACGGGAAATAGGCAGGCGGAAATAGGGACGGGAAATAGCCAGGCGGAAATAGGGACGGGAAATAGGCAGGCGGAAATAGAGACGGGAAATAGGCAGGCGGAAATAGGGACGGGAAATAGGCAGGCGGAAATAGGGACGGGAAATAGGCAGGCGGAAATAGGGACGGGAAATAGGCAGGCGGAAATAGGGACGATGGAAGTATGCACGACGAGAGAAGGGACGGGAAGAGTAGGGACCGAGAGCGTAGGGACGGGGAGAATTGGGCCGGGGAGAGCAGGGATGGGGAGAATTGGGCCGGGGAGAGCAGGGATGGGGAGAATTGGGCCGGGGAGAGCAGGGACGGAGAGAGTAGGGACGGGGATAGTAGGAACGGGGAGAGTTGGGACGGAGAGATTAGGGGCGGGGAGAGTAGGGACGGGGAGAAGAGAATAGGGACAGAGAGAGTAGGGACGGAGAGAGTAGGGACGGGGAGGGTACGGACGGGGAGAAGAGAATAGGGACGGGGATAGGAGGGACGGGGATAGTGGGGACGGGGAGAGTAGGGACGGGGGAAGTAGGGACGGGGAGAAGAGAATAGGTACGGTGAGAGTAGGAACGGGGAGAGTAGGGACGGGGAGAGTAGGGACGGGAAGGGTAGGGACGGGGAGAGTAGGGACGGGGAGAGTAGGGACGGGGAGAGTAGGGACGGGGAGAGTAGGGACGGAGAGAGTAGGGACCGGGAGAGTAGGGACGAGGGAGTGTAGGGACGGGGAGAAGAGAATAGGGACGGGGAGAGTATGGAGGGGGGGAATAGGGAGGGGGGGAATAGGGACGGGGAAAGTAGGGAGGGGGGGAATAGGGAGGGGGGGAATAGGGACGAGGAAAGTAGGGAGCGAGGTGAGGGGCAGTGAGAAGGGGTTGCAGGGGTGGACGATGAGGAGAGGGAGACGTTTTCGTACTTGCCTGTCAGGCCAGGCCCCCCCACCCCCACACCCCAGCACAGGCGCTTGCCCCCAGGGCGCAGGCGCACTTACTATCACAGCACTATCACCTGCCTTCCCCGTGTCCGCGCTCTCTGTTACGGCTCACTGACTACCACTGGAGGTCAGTCTTAGGCCAGTCTCAGCTCAGGTCATTTTCAAGTCAGTCTTAGGTCACTTTCAGGCCAGTCTCAGGTCAGTCTCAGGTCACTTTCAGGTCGCTCTCAGGTCGCTCTCAGGTCACTCTCAGGTCGCTCTCAGGTCGCTCTCAGGTCACTCTCAGGTCACTCTCAGGTCGCTCTCAGGTCGCTCTCAGGTCACTCTCAGGTCGCTCTCAGGTCGCTCTCAGGTCACTCTCAGGTCGCTCTCAGGTTTCCAGTTCCGTGGTATCCTCCTCCGTTCCACTTCTCTGCGATCCCTCTCCTGTGTTCCAGGGCAATGGAGAATTGAAGATTAATGTATCAGCAATTGCAGAAGCACCAGCAGCAACAGCAACAGCAGCACAAGTAGCAGCATCACCAGCACCACCACCAGCACCGCCGGTGCCAGTGTGTGACCACTAACACCCACCAGCCACCACACCAATCAACAGAGACAGCAGCAAGAGGGGCCCCACATCTGCTCGTCCTTGGCGGGTCAAAGCTTCAACCTCCCTTTTCCATAACAGCCCTCAGGCTCATCAAAACCAGCCGGCGAGTCACACTGCATTGACCAGTGGCTATTCACCTGCACTCTGCTTCTGACTGCGGTGCCACTGCTGCCTCCTCATTCTACTCTCCCTCCTCCCCTCCCTCCCACCCCCCCTCTTACATTCCACCCTCTCCTATGCTAGTTTCATCATTCATACTCTAGTGTGCAATCCATGGCTTCATGATGGGCCCTATTGGCCTCCGAACGGATGTAGCTCAGATGGTAGAGCGCTCGCTTAGCATTCAAGAGGTGCGGGGATCGATACCACGTATCTCCAGATTTGCGGGGATAGCTCAGTTGGGAGAGCGTCAGACTGAAGATCTGAAGGTCGCGTGTTCGATCCACGCTCACCGCACGCTTGGACTTGTGCTGGCTTGACCTACAGCACATTGTGCTTCACTGTGCCCAATCTGCTCGCTTCACTGCCTCTTTTGCTCGCTTCACTCACAGACCCTTTGTGCCTTGTCTTGCTCGCTTGACTCATGCTGTCCAACAGGTGTGCCTCCCTGCATGTGAGCAGCTCACAGCAGTGGAGGTTGCTGCTGCTTAAGCGCACCTGGCACGGTATCCACCCCACCTTGTCATTCAACAAGTCATGAGGCGCCCAACTCATCGCTGCCACGTACGGCCTGGCAGCATGGCAGAGCCATGATGAGAGTACGTTTATGGCAGAGAGAAGGGGAGTGGCAGAGGGAAGGGGAGTGGCAGGGAGAAGGGGAGTGGCAGGGAGAAGGGGAGTGGCAGAGAGAAGGGGAGTGGCAGAGAGAAGGGGAGTGGCAGAGGGAAGGGGAGTTGCAGGGAGAAGGGGAGTGGCAGAGAGAAGGGGAGTGGCAGAGAGAAGGGGAGTGGCAGAGAGAAGGGGAGTGGCAGAGAGAAGGGGAGTGGCAGAGAGAAGGGGAGTGGCAGAGAGAAGGGGAGTGGCAGAGAGAAGGGGAGTGGCAGAGAGAAGGGGAGTGGCAGAGAGAAGGGGAGTGGCAGAGGGAAGGGGAGTGGCAGGGAGAAGGGGAGTGGCAGAGAGAAGGGGAGTGGCAGAGAGAAGGGGAGTGGCAGAGGGAAGGGGAGTTGCAGGGAGAAGGGGAGTGGCAGAGAGAAGGGGAGTGGCAGAGAGAAGGGGAGTGGCAGAGAGAAGGGGAGTGGCAGAGAGAAGGGGAGTGGCAGAGAGAAGGGGAGTGGCAGAGAGAAGGGGAGTGGCAGAGAGAAGGGGAGTGGCAGAGAGAAGGGGAGTGGCAGAGAGAAGGGGAGTGGCAGAGAGAAGGGGAGTGGCAGAGAGAAGGGGAGTGACAGGTGGCAGGTGCTGCGCAGCCGATGAAGTGCCCAGCTTGCTGAGGAGCGTTTTGGCAGAGGCAGTTAAGGCAGGAGGGGCAGATGTAGCGGGCGAAAAATCTTTAGGAGGGGCAGGTGGAGCAATAACAATTCCAGCCACCCAAGCTGGAGCCAAGACTCGCTATGGTCAAACCCGACGGAGTCGTGAAACGAGGATTCTTGCTTGGCTACATCTGCCCTCTTGCTCCCACCGCTCTAACACTCCGGCTACCCCTCACTCCCACCACCATCTCTGCCATGCAGGAAACGAGGCCTGGTAGGGCAGCAAGACTCGGTACAGTCAGATGCTGATCCATGAGGGGGAGTTTGTGAATAAAGTGTAAGAAACTGTCTGTGTGGATTACGTAATTGCCCTGCACTAGCTAGGGTCGTACGCGTCGTAGCTCGTGATTGATTACCTCCAATGGTTGAACCTGGCAAGTGAGCTTGTATAATTTGCGGAGAATTGAAGGGGTTATTTAAAACTTGAACTTCGAAGCTGATTCACTATCAGGGCCCAAAATATCAGGGTAAAACGCCCTGATTACCCTGGGGGCCGGACGCTTTTTCAGGATTACCCTGCCAAAATCAGGATTGCACGATAGTTACCCTTCTGCAAAAAGAGCATGTTTTTTATTACACTGATTGGATTTATGGTTAGCCTGACGGTGTCAGGGTAGGGTGTAGACTACCCTGATACCGAAACTTCTTTACCGCGGATCAGGCCTTATTCCGAGTGGTGACGAACTACTGTACCACACTCACATATCAGACATTTCCAAAAAGCCCTGACAGCAAATTCGCCCTGGCACGGTCGTTTCGTGCTGTCAGAGCACAGCAAATTCGCCCAATCACAGTTTTGCGCCGTCAGAGAGCAGAAAATTTGCCCAATCACAGCGGAATTACCCTGACACAAGAGCAGATTCGCCCTTACACGAGATTCGCCCTGTCAGACCCTGTTGTGAGTGCTGCTTTATTATGTTAGTATAGAAAACTTCGCTCACAAAATAGTAGCCGAAACAGGCTTAGCCTAAAACTACCCTGCTTAAATCAGGCTATAGGTTGATTTACCCTGCTGCAAACAGGGTACGAAATTTTTTACCCTAGGGATCGGGCTAAGGAGGGGCTGGAACCCTGATTTGTAAGGGTAGGCCTAAACCAATTTTGGGCCTTGTTCACTATGTTGAATCTGTATAAGGAAATTCATTTTCCTACTGTAGGCCTACTTTAGCTTGTAATATTCCGAGGGGGTCGCTTGAACTGGTTCGGCCTACATTTTCGGCCCGAACCACTTCCGAGTCGCCACAGCACGTTTTTGCCACAATACGAGCCTGGTTTAGACCGAAGTCCTCGCCTAGCTCGAATCTGCCAATTTGACCCTTCTTTTAGACATTCGTTGGGCATTCCACTAGTGCTATGTTGTTTTTTAGTGTGTAAAAACCCGGCACCCATAACAGTGTTTCTTGTCGTTGCTACCGTAATACCCCGGATAAAAGACTCGAGGGTATTATAAAAATCCCACCCCAAAAATTGGGGGGGGGGGGGGGGGGGGGGGGGGGGGGGGGGGGGGGGGGGGGGGGGGGGGGGGGGGGGGGGGGGGGGTCTTAACAGTTGGCTACTTTTTATAAGACCCGAGTCTTATCATAAGGTCATGCCACTTGTGTTTTGGAAGCCAGACATGTGAACAATATGTGCTCCATTTTTAGCATTCAAGAACATACGCGGGATGAATTCCACGACCCTCAAAGGCACGTCACCTAGCATTCGCGCTGGACACCTTCTCCTTTTCGTCCCAGAACATGGTTACCATCTTAAAGTACGCCTAGGAACCAATGTCGAGAGAATTGTGGATGATAGGAAGTGACGGGGATACAAAGAGTAACCTAGAAAGTGTTGTACCCCCTAAGGGCAAGCCACGGTAGCCTAGAAGCCTAACAATGCATATAAACATTATTTGACACACCAAGAACTAGCAAGGGAAACAAAGGGTCACAAGACCAGTCAAGAGAAACAACAAGACAACGCTCGGAGTGGATCTCAAGATCACCACACATTCTGAGCACAAGCAAACGGCCACAAAGCCAGTTCAAGAGTTGCAGAGCAAGCAACAAGAAACAATGCTACGCAACCTAGCACCAGTGTCGACAAGGCCTTACTGCGGACAGAACCTCTGTTGGTCAGTAGGCGCTACCGTCACACCCTGGATATACCCCCATGAGGGGCAATAATAAAACATGTTTTTTTAGGGGGGTGAGCTTATAATCGAGTAAATTTATAAGCGCAAGCGCTTATAAAATGACATATATATTTTTAATATTTTCTAACACCAAACCGTAGATCTCGGGCTCGCCTTTTCAATCGAGTCGAAGTTACATGGGGTCGTCAGTGAAATTCTCGCGCGCGCTGGGAGATACACTCAATCTGACTCACATCGAGCTCCTGACAGCTCTTGACAGCCCCTGCTGACTGGACTCGCATCCAGTGCATGGTCCGAATATGAAGGGAACCGAATCTGCAACACATTCGCCTGGTAAAGTAAAATCGTTACAGCGTTTTGAACACATTTCAAAATTTAAAGTTTACGTGCGCTTATAATAAAACAAGTTTTTCCAGGGGGTGCGCTTATAATCGAGGAGCGGATATAAGCGCCATATTCCAATTACAAGCGCCTGGCGCTTATCCCAGGGTGGCGCTTATATCAGTGGTATGACGGTAAGGCCTTGGTGAAAAATGTCTGCAGGGTTGTCCTCTGAGGCCACGAAGTCCAAGCGTGCCTGGCCGCGTCGCTGCAACTCTCACAAGAGAAAGTACCTCACGTCAATGTGCTTCACTCTACTCTCCAGTCGAGGCTCTCAACACAGGAGGATCATGGCCTTGTTGTCAGCAAACAAGGTCGGTGCAGAGCTCGGCTGCTCACCAAGGTCGGCGAGCAAGAAGGTCAACCAGCGAAGCTCCTGCGCAGCCATGGCACCAGTGTAGATCTCTGCCTCTGCACTGGACAAAGCCACAGACAACGACCAATAGGACCTCCACGACACAGCTCCAGTGCCCAAGCTGAAACAGTAACCCTGAGTGGACCTCTGTGTCTCCACGTCGTCGGCGTAGGAAGATTCGCAGTGATCGGTCAGAACAACTGGTTGTCTTCCTCCAAGCACAATCCTCATGCCTGATGTAGTCGCTAGGTACTTCGCCACCCTCACAGCATCTGTCCAGTGAACAAGACGGTGTCACCCAGTCGCAACAAAGCGAGAGAGGACACTGAGAGGAAAGGCGAGGTCCGGACGAGTACAAGTCATCAGGTACATGAGGCAGCCCACAAGCCCTGCGTAGGGACCACTAGACTCAAAGGGCCCATCGAGAAAAGGGCCGGTGAGTCTGTGGTCAATGGCAAGAGGAGTGGGCTGTGTGGTGGAGTGCTGAAGCCCGAACCGCTGAAGGACCTGCTGCACCATGTGTGGCTGTGAGAGTGTAATCATGCAAGCGGCTCCGTCTCTGGTGATCTGCAAGCCAATGTAGCAGCGCAACTCACCAAGGACAGTGCACGTGCGTCTCTCCTGCAGATCGGACTTCACCTTAGCCAGGGCAACCTTATCTGCTGTAGCGAAGACCAAGTCGTTGACGTAGACAAGAACAAGGAAAGGAGTGGAGCCTCTGCGAACAAACATCGACGGGTCGGCGGACGTAGGGTGGAAATCGAGGTCAGCCAGAGTGCTGCGTAACTTGTCATGCCACTCACGGGGCGCCTGGTGGAGACCGTAGACTGGTCGTCTCAGGCTCCACTGGGTCCCAAGCAGGAAAGTGCCAGTGAAGCCAAGAGGACGACACAACCAGATCTCCTCGTGTAGGCTGCCCTGGAGAAAGGAAGTGGAGAAGTCGAGAGAGTGCAGCTCGTAGTCCCGCTGTGCTGCAACATGAAGTAACACCGAAGAGTCGTCATCTTCGGGGTCGGGGCGAAGGTCTGGAAGAAGTCAACTCCCTCACGCTGACCGAAACTTCTAGCCACGTAGCACGCCTTGAAGACATGCGGCAATCCACATGCCATCGACTACGTTTGCCCTAGGAGGGATAACTGCGTCGACGTAGGTGCCTGTGGATCTCCAAGACGCCATCTCTGCGTCCATGGACGCTTTCCACTAAGAGGCCCACTGCCCTGACACTACCTCACGGTATGTGCAAGGAGTCGGAATGTCAAGGGCGTCGGGGTGTCTCTCAGGGGAAAGCAGCATGGCACAGAGAGAGGGAGAAGCGGCTGCCAAGAACTTCAGCTCAAACTGCCTGTCCTCTAGGACGTCACAACCAAGGGCAAACTCACCCCAGGCGGACAGAGGATGGGCAGGCGGAGCAGCCACTATACGAGTGGCGAAGTCAAGGCGGCGGGTGGCAGCAAAGTCAGCGACAGCGGCAGTTAGAGCCGAGACAGACGACGGAGAGGTACGAGGGTTGGTGACAAGAGAAGCGAGAACACGCGAGACAACAGGACGAGCAGCACGGTAGTAGTCAGTAATAGGGTGAGAGGCGACAGTGAGAGACGACACAGGAGGCGGCGGGAGAATAGACACATGCGAAGCACGACGAGGACTAGAACGAAACAAGACAGCGCGGAGGTTGTCACAAGGAGACGAGGGACGAGCACGTGGAGGACAACGAGTGGTCCAGTCGTGCGAGAGAACATGAGGATGCGACTGTGACCGAGGAGGAGAGAAAACAGCCGGAGCCAAGTCCGGAGGAGGACTGTACGCGGTAGGAGACTGTGTGCGGACAGGATAAGGCCACTCACTGGTGGGAACAACTGCTGCAAAATGGGCGGCTGCTGCGGCTGCTGCTACTGCACCTACTGCTCCTCCTGCTGTTCCAGCTGCCGCAGCTCCCGCCTCTCCTGCTCCAAACACTCCTGCTCCTCACGCTCAAGCTGGTGAAGAGCCTGGAGACGCGTGTCGTAGCGGTGAGGAGGTGCAGTGGGCGCCACAGTAGTAGTGCCTCCAGCTCCAGTCGCCTTAGAACTAGCACCTCTAGTGCCAGAAACTCCAGCTCCAGCACCTCAGCTCGAGCACCTCCAGAACTAGTACCACCAGTACCAGCATCTCCAGCTCTAGCCCCAGCACCCCTCGAACGCGTACCCCCAGTGGCAGCACCTCCAGCTCCAACACCTGTTGAGTCCACAGTAACCTGTCGAGGAAGTGCCGAAGGCTGGTGAGGTGACTGTGAGGAGGACTGTGGGGAGGGAGACGACACGTGATGTGCTACCAAGGGAGAGGGGTAATATGAGACACACCTGGCAGGGCAAGGCCTAGGGGGGGCTGGGGTACCGGAGGAGCGGGAGCAGGAGGAGGAGTGGGGGCGAGGAAAAGAGGAGGGGGGGGAACCGAGAGACCTCGACAGGGGTAGCGGGTATAGTAGGACACAGACTCGTCAAACCGGACGTCACGGGAGTCGAGGAACCGGTGGAGGGGGGGTGGTAAAAAGTGTAGTTAGAGGAGTCCACCGGGAACCAAGGAAGACACAGGGGATGGCGCGAGCCGAGAGCTTGTCCGCAGAGGTGTCGCGGACAAGCGCAAGGCAGCCCCAGACTCGAAACTCCGACGCAACACCAGGGGACCCGGTCCAAAGACTGGTCGGTGAAGCCCCTGGTCGTGAGACAGAAGGCCAGAGGTTCAGCTGGTAGGTGGCGTAGCAAACCGCGTAGGGCCACAGAAAATGGGGCGCACGGGCATGTATCATGGAGGTGCGGGCAATCTCCATGACCAAGCCAATGCGGCGCTCAGCAACCCCATTCTGCTGTGGGGACTCAGGAAGCGTCCAGAACTGTCTGATGCCCTGCTCGCCACAGAACCCGGCAAGTACGTCAGAGCGGAACTCACCCCCACGGTCGGAGTGGAGACAACTAACGCGACGACCACGAGCATCCTGATTGGTCAGGAGCCACCAGATCAGCGTAGAAGTCACCTCGGACTTCTTCGCGAGAGGAAACATAGTGGTGTACTTGGAGTAGTCGTCAACAACCACGAGGGGCTGGGCCCTAGACGTCCAAGTGAAGGGTCTGGAAGGGAGCGGTGGCCGGACGAAGGGAGGAGGAGTGAGGAGCGGCGCACAACCGACCCTCGACGCAAGGAGTGCACGGCGGCGCAGGCGAGCGAGGAAGCAACTCAAACACCCGCGGGAGACCTAAGACAAGACGCTGGCTGGCCATGCTACGGAGGCGTGGGAGGGACGGGTGACCTAGAGAGTGGTGCCACAAGACTGTCGGGTGGGAGAGTGAGCGACAAGAGCAAGGCGTAGCAACCTGACTCGAAGCAACCACCTGACCGGCTGCAGTAGCATGACCATACGCATCTACCTGGGGGGGCGGAGTGTTCAAGACAAAGAGACTTGAGTGGGGCTCTCTGGTGAACGTGGCAAGTACTGCCCCGGTAGAAGCGTCCGTATAGATCGCAGTCCTCCCGTGCGCAGGAAATGTGACTGTGATCCCATGGTCTTGAAGGTATCCAACACCCACCAAGTTCCGAGAGAACAAGGGGATATAGAGACCGGTGAGGACACCAGAAGGGACAGCCAGGCACGAGAGGGTGGTATAACTGCGAGCGATAGCTGGTCCTGAAGTAGGATCAGCCAAGGCGACTGAGACCGGAGCAGCAAGAGGTGTGACAGTGGTGTGGTCGCGAAAGAAGCACTGGGACGCGCCAGCGTCCAGCGTGAAGGAGAGTGACGCGTCAGCAGTTGTCACAGCTGCATTAGTAATTACACAAGCACCTACACTAGAAGCACAAGCACCTACACTAGTAACAGGCAAAGGTCCTAAGCTAGGTACACGCA